GTAGGGAAAGGGGCGACAGGGCTGGCTGCTACCCAGGGTACGGTGGCGGGGGGTGCGATGCCGGGTGGCATATCTGCGCCCAGCGAAGCCCGATGCACGCCTCCCAGGTGCCTCCGCCCCGTTCCTCGACACAGCCCCCACTCGCTCCACACCCAGGGCGAGTGCCGGGCCAACCCCGTCTACATGATCGGCAAGGGGGGCGCGGTGGCGCAGTGCGCGCGCGCCTGCGCGACCTGCACGCGCCCGGCCCCGTCCCTCCCCGCCTTCCTCCTCGGCGCGGCGGAGCCGGCGCGTGCGCAGGAGGCGGCGCGGGAGGCCGCGCGCCTCGGCCAGGCCTCCCTCGTGCGCGGCGGGTGCCTGGCGCGGGAGGCCTGCGGCCGGCTGCAGGGCGGCGACGCCGAGGCCGCGCTGCTCGAGGCCCTGCAGGCGCCCGCCGTGCCGGCGGGGCGGCCGGGAGGGGGCGGCAGGGCGTCCCAGGCCCTGGCCTCAGAGTGCGTCTGACTTTTCTGGGAGTCTACTATGGTGCTGATGGTTTTTGTGGACCACACGCTTCATGCCCTCGGGCGTGCCATGTGCCGGCTGCCAGGGGGGTCATCTGGTCTGAGGTGGCACCTCGAGCAGTGCAGGTCGCCCGTGCAGAGCAGCGCCCCATGTCGCAAGGATTGCGGCTGTCATCCTGCCTGGGAACCAGATCGCGAGCCCACAAGCTCAACCCCCCCATTTCCAAACCCCACCACCCCCGCAGGCTGGTGCAGTCCCAGGTGATGCTGGTGCGGGGGGCCAAGGACCCCGTGATCCCGGTGTCGCGCGGGCCGCCCCGGCCCCCCGGCTCCGCGACGCCGCCGGGGTCGGGCGCCGGCGACGCGGAGCGCGTGCTGTGGGACGCGGTGGGCGGCAAGTGCCTCTACGTCAGCACCGGCTGGTGGCTGTACGAGGTGTGCCCCGGCTGGCGGGCCAGCCAGTTCCACCTCAGCGCCGCGCACGTGCCCGACTGGGTCATTCCCCTGGGCGCCGCGCCGCACGGCTGGGGCGCCTGGGTCGCGGCCGCCGCGCCCCGTGCCGTCCTCCTCCCCGGCGTCGGCCCGCTGCCTGCGCTGGAGACGGCGCTGGAGGGCGGCGGCGAGTGCGAGCGCGGCGCGGGCGGTGCAGGCACGGGCGCGGCGCCGCGCGAGATGGTCGCGCGGCGGGCCACGCTGCGTGCGCTGTGCTCCCCCGACGCCGCCATGCACGTGGTGGTGCAGGAGCCGGTGCAGTGCGAGTACCTGATCGAGCTGTACGTGCCGGAGCTGTGCCCCGTGTTTGACGAGGGGGCGGGCGACGGCGGCGAGGAGGTGGTTGAGGAGGAGGGCGGCGTGGTGGTGATCCTGGGGGAGGACGGGGCTCTCCCGCAGCGCGAGGGGGGTGCCGAGCCCGAGCAGGCGGCAGAAGCGGAGGAGGCAGAGGATGTCATGGACTCAACAGCATGGGACGAGCTGTAGGCCAGCGCATTTGTGTAATGAGTATATGCACACACAGAGCCGCCCCTGTGAAATTTGAAATGATGGTGCTGCGGGGTGCCCCTGTCCCCGCTGGCTTCCACTCCCCATCCCGTACGTCTCCTTGCCTGAATGCCATCAAGGCCTACCCGCCCCATATCACCCGGCTCTCAGAGGAGATCAGGGACAGTTGCAAGAACTCTATTTCAGCAAGTACGCATCTGTTCCCAATGCGGTGGCATACAGCATGCCCCGCAGCAGTTGCTGTCGGAAACCGGTCACCGAACTCACCGGTTACTCCACATCCTTCGGTCCCCACCATACGGACCCGAAGCGGAGTCATGGACGGAAACGAGTCCTTTTGGGACTTCTGCACCAGGGTGAATCAGCAGTCGATGTCGTGGCCAGCCTTGGCCAAAGACTCGGACATCCTAGTGACGAGGTCCCGAAAGGACTCGTTCTCGTCCATTACCAGGTTTCAGCTCCGCATGGTGGAACCAAAGGGTGTGGGATAACCGGTATGATCGGTGACCGGTTTCCGACAGCAATTGCTGCGGGGTAGGCTATGTGGGGGCAGCCTATGTGCACAGAAGTGTCACTTCCTGAAACAGAGTTCTTACATCTGTCGCCGATCTCCTCTGAGAGCCGGGTGATGTAGGTCGGGTGTGCCTTCCAGGCAAGGAGACGTGAGGGATGAAAAAAGGGAATTGGCAGGGACAGGGGAACCCTGCAACAGATGGTCAGGATGATATGGGACTCCAGAGGGATGAGCATCGCCTTTGGGATTGTTACAAGAGGTTATTCTCCCTGGAGCTGCTACCAAGTGGTTGGGGACTTCAGGTGGAATCCTGAGCAGTGCACGCAGAAGAGAGGGACCTCCTCTCCGTCACCAGGAACAGTCAAATCTCGATCTCGTGTCGATCTCCTAGAGAAATGCGGCTTCGCCACATGGTTACGCAAACAAAACCTTCACCACTTTCCGACCCACTTCGGGATGCAGATACCGCCCGTCCCCACAAGGACGATGCGGTAAAGCTCACGAGATAATCAGGGAGATGGGGGGTCCTGGGGCCCAGTCCAGCCAGTTCATCGCTGATGTCCCTTCCGGAGCCTGGCCCACCACACCCCTGGTGGTACGTGCAGGATCAAGGGGGCGCACGGTTTGTTTCATGTGTCTTGAGACTTCTTCATGAACTGCGTACTTGTTGTGATATGCTCTGTCAAGCAGGAAGACCCGGGCGAGGAGGTCAGCCCCCTCCCCAACCTCCACTTCGTCCCCAGGTGCTGATGGGCTGGGTGGGGGCCAGTGACCGAGCCCTTGGCAAGTACGCCCGCGTGCTGGCGGACTGGGGCTACCCCAGCGTGCGCTCGGTGGTCCCCACAGCCTACGTTCTCTGCGGCCAGGCAGGCGCGTGCGATGCATGGGCCCAGAGCATGCTGGATTTTATGCATGACCAGGGACTGGTCCAGGGCCGCCCGCTGGTGCTGTACGCCTTCAGCAACGGCGGTGCCGCCATCGTCGCATCCATGGCGCGCATCTGCAGATCCGAGGATAGGTGTGCAAACCATGTTTGTGGTGTGCCATCTGTCCCTGCCGTGAAGGAAGGGATGCTTGGCCTCTGGAAACCTTCAGCGAGTGTTGCGCCCTTGATGGATGCTCAGCATGGACACACCCCATCCCCCGCATTAGGTACAAATCGCTGTGGCCCCGGGTGGCAGCGTGCATCTTTGACAGCGCCCCCGCCCAAGGGTCCCCGGCCATGCGGCACCGGGTGCTGAACACCATCGTGCCGCCGGGCCTCTCGCGCACGGCATGGGCCCTACGGCTGCACTGGCAGAATCTGAAGGACATGATGTCCTCCAGATCCTTCCAGGATGACTTCTGGTGGGTGGTTTGGGGGGAAAGGGGGGGTTAAAGAAGCTCCCTTCGGTGGGCAGTCCCATGGCGCCTTCTGCTACCCTTCCAGCATCACCGTCCCTGTTGCATCCGCACGTGAGACCTGATGCTGTGGCGGCGCGTACCACCGCCAGAGTATGTTGTTGGTGCTTGGCTGGGTTGCCAGCCAGCCTGCTCCAGCACCCCATTCCACCCCCCCTCCATCCATCCACCGCCGTCCTCAACCTCAGGACGGAGATGCTGAACCTCGGGTCCGCCCCCCCGCACATGCCGCTCCTGTACCTGTACAGTGCCGACGACCCCCTGACCGACGCCGCCAAGCTGGACGCGCTGCTGGCGCAGAAGCGGGCGCTGGGCCACGACGTGACCGCCAGGCGCTGGGCCTCCTCCCCCCATGTCATGCATTTCAAAGATCACCCGGAGGAGTATCTAGCACGGCTGTCGGCCTTCCTGCAAAGAGTGGCGCCGGCCCGCGGAGGCACCGTACGCATCGTCGCCCGCCTTTGAAGATGCATCTGGGCGAGCGAGAGGTCTTGCGAACCCTGTGCAGAGTGGGTGCTGCCGACATACTTTGCAGTAGCACAAGTGGTCCTTGCCAACGCCCCAGATGACCCTGGCGACAGTATTCTGCACTAGAAGGAAGGCCTGGACCATGCAGTTCCCCGCTCAAATGAGCTCCATCCCTGTTCCTGACCTTCGTCCCCTGGCACCCTCTCAGCGCTCGAGCAGGCCTTGCATCACGCATGGGATTGGACGCTGGATCACAAGGGAAGGGGGTGGCAAAAACCTTTCTACGGGCAGGGCCAGGCGGGGAAGCGACCTTGGACAGGGTATGAGGCCACCATGATGCACAACGCCCCTGCCACCCAGGGGCGCCGTCACAGCTCCTTGTGCGGCCGCGCCTCTGGCACTGCGGCCGGCTTTGCCGCGGCGCTGCCCCAGAGGTAGCCCCCTGCCAGCGTGACGGCCACGCTGAGTGCGCTGCGCTGGCTCAGGCACAGCCAGGGCTTGTCTGGGGAGCAGAAGAGGGAGGCGGTGGCAAGGGTCAGTGCCGCGCCCCGCAGCGCATTGGCCAGGGCCACGCCCAGGGCACCGCGGCTGCCAAAGACGTGGGCCTGGCAGGCCATGTGCAGGTTCATGCCCACGGCAAAGAGGCCGACGAGGCCCAGTGTCCGGCCAGGCTGGTCGAAAGACAACAGGGCGGACGCCCGCGGCAGGGTGTATACGAGCACGTAGGCACTGGTGAGCGCAAAGCCTTGCAGAGGAAATTGTTTTTTTGGGGGGGAGGGGTATTTTGTGAATGTGTACATGTGTAAGGAGGGGGAGCATCGAACAGTCAGAAGAGCGGGTCGAGTAGAGGACATCACATGCACGTCGCAGCTCTGCCATCGCGCACTGGGAGGCATAGGCATCCCCTCCCCCCCTCACCGAGCTTGGAGGAGTGCCAGGAGACGTCGGCATAGCTGGGCCGGGCGGAGCCCGAGGCGGCCAGGAGGGCCTCGTAGGCGACGCCCATGGCCGTGTACATGGCCGCCGCGGCCACCAGGAAGAGGGTGCCCCACAGCTGCGTGGCGCCCTCAGCGGCGGGCTGGCCGGCGCGGCCCCCGCCGGCGCGAATGCCCAGGCCGAGGAGGATGACCATGACGGCGAGCCCCTGGCGCGGGCTCAGGCGTTTGCCCAGCAGCCAGTGGCTGGAGGCCGCGGTGAGCACCTGGGACACCGCGGCCAGCAGCAGGCTTGCGGTGGCCGGGCCACAGGCATAGAAGCCCAGGGTGAAGAGGGTGTAGGCCACGGTCTCCAGGAACCCGATCAGGGTCAGCAGGGAGTGCTGGCGAGGGGAGAGGGAGGTGTGGACCGTGCGCCGGGCCCGCACGAGGCCGGCGTAAGCCAGGGTGGCGCCATACCGGATCCAGGGCATGGCCTGGGCCGAGGGCGCGGCGAAGCCCGTGGCGGTCAGGTACTGGCCCACCACGTTCAGGACGGTGCCGGTGAGCACCAGGAGCAGGATGTCGGCATGCATGGAGGGTGATTCGGGAGGAACACCGGCGGCGAGAGCTCGTCCGGGAGGTAAGAGGACCGGGCGAGACAGCTGGGACTGGTTTCGGAAGTAATCGGGCGCGCGCGACGATCACCCGATGGGACACCCCTCGATCAGGAGGAAGCCGGTCTGGGTGGGTCCTGCAAGACGTACAGTCGATGGGTCAACGCTCTACATCGCCTATGGTGACTCGGACTGGATAGAGGTCTACTGGGAGCAGGCAGGCATGGAGGCCCGGCTCGCAGCCATCACCGCCGAGTCCGACGCCAAAGCCAAGGGCGATCAGTACCGGGCGGTGCTGGAGGACATCATAGCATCTGGCCAACAAGACCAGGCCATCGCATTCATCGATCATGGTGTGATGGGTGGGATTCCTTGGCTTTCTCACCCAGGCATGCATGCTTGTTACTCCAGGACGAACAACCCTCGCTGTACTCATCCAGAGCACCTCCTCCCCGTGGCAGTGCTATCGGACTCTGTGCCCCTCCTCCTCAGCCGGCAGCTGCTCTCCCTGCTGGCCTCCAGCATCTCCAGGCTCCCCTCTGACTGCCAGGAGGACGTGGCCCGGCAGTGAGCGGCTGGTGTTAAGGAGTGGTTGAGGGAGACGCGGGGCTGCACAGGCCATTACTAGGATATGTTCACCCACTCTTCTTTACACTGCCTGCTCGTCGGTGTACCACGCGTGCTCATGGCGCAGCGACTTGCCACTGTGTCGATATAACGTGGGGCCCATGTCCATTACCCCTCATCGTGTTGAACTACTGTAATGAACAATTTCCCGACCCTGACCCTCCCTCCCAACCCCACAGTGCCCTGGACCGGCTGCAGCCGCGCGCAGTGAGCCACGAGGAGCAGATCACCGCCCTGCGGGAGCAGCTGGCGCTGGTGTACGAGCGACGCGAGCTTTGGTCCCAGGCCGCCCAGGCCCTGGCTGGCATCGACCTGGACAGCGGCGTGCGCCTGCTGGACGGCGAGTACCGGCTGGAGAAGAATGTGAGGATAGCGCGGCTGTATCTAGAGGACGACGACCCAGTGGCGGCGGAGACCTACATCAAAAAGGCCTCCTCCCTCGTGGCGGCCATCAAGGTGAGACGATGGGGGGTGCGGGTGTGGGGGCGTGGGCATGCTGGTCGGTAGATGTCTGTTTCTGGTGTTGCAAGGGGAGGAGGATGGCGTGTTTCTTTGTAGAACGCAGAAGACACACCTGGGTCAGCTCGTGGCAGGAGTTCATACTCGTCACAGTCCCTGCTGGGCTCCATACGTCGGACCCCTCCTGATCCCACCTCCATACAGAACGAGGCGCTGGAGCTGCAGTACCGCACCTGCTACGCCCGCATCCTGGACTCCAAGCGCCGCTTCCTGGAGGCCGGCACCCGCTACTACGAGCTGTCGCTGGCGGGCGGGGGCGGCCCCTCGCGACCCCGGGTCAGCGAAGAGGACCTGGGCCAGGCGCTGTCCGCCGCCATCACCTGCGCCATCCTGGCAGCGGCGGGCAGCCAGCGCAGCCGCCTGCTGGCCACGCTGATCAAGGACGAGCGCACCGTGCCCTCACCCCTGCGCCCCATCTTGGAGAAGGTCTACATGGAGCGGATCCTGGGCGCCGAGGAGGTAGTGTATATCTCGAGGGGAGAGTGGATGAGTGGGTGGAGCTGGGTGTGTTTCAGCGCGGCGAGGGGCGAGTCTAATCTGCCTGCTGAGGACACCTACATGCAGGGTAGGGCTACTTGAACGGGTCCTCCAAGCCTTGTTGGATCACAATCGGTCCGATCCCTTTTTGGTGGCCCTCAGCACCGCGCACCCTCGACATCCTCCACATCCACCAGGTGAGTGCCTTTGCTGCTGGGCTGGCGCCTCACCAGCTGGCAACCTTGCCAGACGGCTCGACAGTCCTGGACCGGGCCGTCATGGAGCACAACCTGGAGAGCGTGTCAAAGCTCTACACCTCCATCAAGGCAAGCAGAGAGGTGTTGAGAAAGATGTGGCTGGCCGATTTCTGCCTGGATCTGAAATGTTCTGTCTCGCAAACACTGCACCGAAACATTCACCTTGAATCTCATGCCGATTCTGCCGGCGATTCCCATGCTCCTGATCACATTCCACATCCTCGAACCTTCTCACCCCCCCCCCCTTCCTCCCAAACCACCACTTCGCCACTTTGCAGATAGAAGAACTGGGGCGGCTGCTGGGCGTCACGCCCAAGGCTGCTGAGAAGGCGGCGGCCCGCATGATCCTGGAGAATCGGCTGTCTGCCACCCTAGACCAGGTTTCGGACCTCGTCAGGTTTGGGGGGGGGCCGGACGCCTCCTCTGCCCGGGATGCCGCCCTGCGCTCGGCGTGCCTGGCTGCAGACAAGCTCGTGATGCTCATGGCTGCCAGGGGACTCTGTGCCGCGCCCACCAGCTGAGCATGCGAGCAGGCATGCCCGAATGAGTTCGGCCTGGAAGTCGAGCGTCGAATCCTTGTGCGCGCCGAAAGTGTTGTGTACCATATCGCTGCGATGTCTGGCTGTAAACAGTGCGCCCATTTACTAACAGGCGCGCTGCATGCAGACTCTGACCATGTCGCGACGGGCACCAATTCAACAGGGTTTCCACTTCCTCAGGAGCGCTTCAAATATGCCCACCTCAGCCCAACTCCAGGGCAGGCCTGGTGATGGCCTCCAGAGTGGCCCCCGGCGAGAACTCTGGGGTCTGGTTGATCTTCTCCAGCACCACGAGCTCGTGGTAAACCTGCGAGGTGGGGGGCCCAGAGGTGGCGGAGCTTCGGGAGCGGCTGGCGGCATTAACTTAGCTGATGTGGCGCTGCAGGGCCCGCCCTGGCAGCTGAACCTGTGACTCCATGCAATTTTAGTTCTGCTGTTTGACGACATCTCCGACCCTTGTCCCGGCAGGTTGCCCTCCCATTCCCCACGTCACCCATTCCCCCGGGCACCTGCTGCAGGGCTGCGGTGTCCAGAATCAGGGACCCACAATGCGCCAGCACCATGCGCATGTCTTCCTCGATGGGAGGGAAGCGGCGCGACTTGACGCGCATCAGGAAGTCGCGCACCTTGTTGGGGGGGAGGGGGAGGGGGGGGGGCGATGGTGGTAGGGTTGGGCAATCACAAAGTAGAGCAACACCATACCTCCCAAGGGCGGAGTGGAGGTCAGAAAAGGCAACCCTCCGCACCAGCAGATGGCCAGAGTGGCAAGCTCGAGTACGGCAGGAATCTCTGTCAAGCCACTATGTCACCACCTCAATCAGAATTATTCCTTCACCCCCAACCCCTCCAAGGCTCGCACCAGGAGTTCGCAGTAGTGCACACGCTGGACGTGCGGATTCTCCACAGATGCGCCGCCCCCCCACTGCTCCTTCCAGGGCGGCCGCGCGACCTCCTCCCCCACGCCCTGCCTCAGCGCAAAGTTGAGCCTGCTGGGCTCGCGCCTGACCACCACGCTCACGGTCTTGCCGGGCCTCACGGCCACGCAAAAGTCCAGGGTCTGCATGGCCTGGCCCCAGTAGTGAGGGGGCTCGGCGGCCGAGGCCTCAGGGTCAGCGGCTGCGTCCTTTGGCGCCGCCTCGGCGCAGGCCCGGGACTCGGCGGGGTCAGCAGCCTGGGAGCTGCTTGCTGCACCTCCATCATCCCGCTCCTCTGTTGTGGCAACAGAATCCCGCTCGCGATAGTAGCCCGTTCCCATTTTGGCAGTGCCATAGATCCAGCCTGGGCGACGTCCTTGGAAGGTCGGCGCAGGCTCAAAGTCCGAAGGAGGCTGGTCCTCTCCTGATCGCGGCTCTGTGGGCTGGACCGACTCTGAACCTGCCTTATCAAGTACACCAGGAGGCGCTGTAAAAGAGGAGGGTGAGGGCAAGGTTGTGTTGAGTCGTGTGCACACCAGGTGCTGCAATATAGTTGAATACAGAAGAGAGCGTTGCTACTTTCCGTTGCATTCTCATTGTTCTCCGTGGTCCTGACGGGGCATTCAACGCTGAAACCTCCCAGAGACCTCTTTCCCAGGTGTGGGGACCCACAAAGTACCATGGCAAAGCACCACAAACACACCGTTCGAGAGAGTCTCCACATCATCCAGGTGAAGATCAAACCAGTAGACGATGGCATTCATGTTCCCAGGGGCGACGACCTCAAGCTTCAACATCGTGTCCCTGCATGCGGCAGGAGGGGCATGGTGGTGAAATCCGCATCATGTGTGCAATACGCAGTTGGTCAAAGCGGGTGGGACGCACGTGTTGAATTATACGCAGTTGGCGAATTTCAATCCTACTGCATGTCCTCGAGAGGCTCTCTGAAGGAGCTGCACCTCCTGAATTCCTCATCTCCAGCTTGGGAACCCCCCTTCTCAAAAAGGCCCCTAAAAGCGTGTGCGTACCTGACACGGCCCCTCTTCTCGCCGTCGAAAAAAAACTCTGCGGCCTTGGCCGGCCGGGTGAGCACCCGGTGAGGAAAGTCGGAAAGCCTGATGTTCTGGGGCGCATCGTCCCAGCGGTACTTGTTGATGAGCGAGACATCGAAGCCGCCCGCAGAGGCAATGCAGGCCTCGATGCCAATGCAGTACACCGTGGCGGCGGCGGGGACCGTGATCGCGCCGGGCTGCATCACCCTCTTTCTCGCCATGTCTAGAAGGTACTGCACGCCGTCGCCCAACAGGCCTGGAAGGGTTTGGGATGAGGGAGAGCGAGGGGGGGAAGAAAGTTGTACTCGCAGGTGGGGCGCAGCGCAGGCGCGAGGGGCGGGCCCTGTCGGTGGTTGAACAGGGCGGCCTATGTCCCAGGCTGGGCAGGTGCTCGTCGATGGTCTGATGCAAATCGAGATGCGCAGGACCTGCAAGCAACTTTCTGTCCTCCCTGGCCATAACTCATGGCACTCAACCTCCTCTGAAACACAACTCCCCAGGTCCCTCCCACTCTCCCCCCTGCCCACCGGCATCGAAGAGGTCGGCGACCACCAGGTTGACCCCCAGCGCCCGCACGTCCCGCCCTCGTTGCAGGCAGGCGATGTCGCGGTGCACCACCGACACCCGGTCCGACACGCAGTTGGCAGCCACTGTCTGCAATCGGAAAGGGTGAAGATAGTCAGGGTGGGTACTTGGTGCGGATGCGCAGGCTGCGCACACCCCACCAGAAGGAGACTGAATGAGCCCAGCCATACCCCCCGGAATTGCCCCATCGGTGTGCCATGCCTCTCACATGATACGTCCCTCTACCAAGAAAGAAAGAAAGAAACAACCAAACAACACAGCCCACACCTGGCGTGCCAGGTCCGCCAGGGGCTCGTGCAGGTCCACCGCCACCACGGAGGTGGCCCCCACCTTCGCCGCCAGGATCGCGAGCGCGCCCGCCCCTGTCCCCGCGTCCAGCGCATGCACCTCGCCGTCCCTTGCAGCCAGGCGCGCCGCCGCGCGGCGCAGCGCGCGGGCGTACGCCTCGTACTTACCCCCGTCTGCCAGCATAGCCAGGTGGCGCGGGGGGAAGGCGGCGTCGCGCCGCGCGGTCGCCGCGTACGCCGCGTCCTCCACGTCGAAGCGCATGCGCACCGTGTTGTGCGTGGCCAGCAGCGGGTGGGTGTCTCCCTGCAGCACCTCGATCGCGCCCTGGAGGTACTGCAGGCCGGGCCCCAGGCAGCGCAGCCCGGCGGCCGCTGCGTCGGGGCCGGTGGAAAGCGTGGCGTCGCCGTGCAGGCGCAGGTCAAACCAGAAGCGCACCGCGTTCCAGCGCCCGGGTCCCTCAAACTCCAGGTCCAGCGTCTGCGCGGCGGTGTGCGTCGGCGGCGCCGCCAGGTCAAAGTGCCATGCCTCGCGCGGGCGGCTCAGCGCGCGCACCGCGGCGCCTGCTTCCCCGCGCCGCCCTTCGGCGAGGTACGCCGGGGCCCAGCGCCGCGCGTCGGCGGCCTGCATGTTCAGCCCCGCCACGCGGCCCGTCGCCACCTCCACGGCCTGCACCCACACCGTGGCCGAGGCGGGCAGGACCAGAGCGTCGGCGGTGGCCAGAGTGGAAAGCACGTGCTGGACGGAGGGGATGAGGCCGCTGCTCAGCAGGCCTGCACGGGGCGAAGGCAGAGGGCAGATTTGAGAGTCGGGGTGGGGTGGAGGGCGGACTGCTGACTGAGCGCAAGAAAACAGCAAAGGGTGTGGGGGTGAAGTGCGTGCTGCATGCGGCGGAGGCCAGACAGGGTTCAGGACATGGCTGCAGTGGCAGGAAGGCAAGGCCTCGGCGCCCCTGTGGCGTGCCATGCCCACGCCCAGCACCACAGTACTTGGTGCTGCTGAGCCCATGAGCCCCGCAGCACGCCTCCTGTGCTTGCCCGCCGCAGACGCTGGGTTCCAGCCCTCCTTCCAGGTGACCCCCCCCCCGCACCTTCATCCAGCAGGAGGGGGGCCAGGATCAGGTTTGCGCAGACGGGCACATCCTTGACCAGCTGCAGGTCCGTCGGCCGCTTGTACACCACTCTCACTCGGTCCTCGTGGAACTGCAGGCGCCGTGCAGTGGGATGGCTGGGACGGCCACGTGCACATCGACGCATGCGGGGGGAGGAGCCCAGGCCGTGCGAGACTGGCAGGTGCACCGTTTTGTAGGGGGGGCGCCCCCCCACACCTCGACTCACCCCATTGGCGTCCAGGATCTCCTTGGCGGTGAGCGCCAGGTAGAGCCATCGCTCCACGGCCGTCACGTGGCGGGCGCCGGCGGCGAGGGCGGTGGCCGCCAGTACCCCGGCGCCCGCCGCCAGGTCAATCACGCGGACGTCGCGCTCGCCGCCGGCGGAGATGGCCTCCACCGCCGACCGGACGCCGGCCTGGAGGCGGGACAGGCAGTACGAGTCCTCCAGCAGCTTGATGTGCCTCCTCGGCATGCGGATGTCTGTCTGTGGTGCATGCATGGGGGGGTCGCGTGATGAGCACCCCTGCATGAAGCTTCACCAGTGCAGGACGCTGTGGGTCTCGGAGGAGGTGTGAGCACCATGCCATGCCCCCACCAGACAGGCGTGAGGGGGGCCACCCGGCGACACACCATGTACCACCACACACCTTCCCCACGCAAGCCCCTCTTTCACCCTTTCCACCTGGACTGTCACGTAGTTGACGGTGTCCTTGATGGCGTGGTCGTTCTCGGCCTGGAAGGGGGTGAGCAGGCGCAGAGGGAGCATGTCGTCCGTCTTGATGCGGTGCAGCGGCGCGGAGGCCGGGTGGTAGGCGATGCGCTGCTTGGGCTCTGGGTAGGTCAGGGCTTTGAGAACCTGGCCCCCGCCTGCGGTGAGGGTTTGGGTTGGATGAGCGCGAGGCAGATTGGTGGCTGGTATGTCTTGTAGAACTCGACTGTGGCCCTGGGAACGCAGAGGTACCCCAAATGTGGAGGTGCTCAGGGGCATTGCAGACCCTGATCAGATCCGGATATCCACCCAAGGAATACAAGGAGCCCAACGTCAAAAAGTGCAAGCCAGGTCCCGCACAACCCCCAGCGCACACACCAGCCAGGGCCTCCTCTGCCAGGCGCTGCTGGGCGCTCTGCAGGCCGGCCCTCAGCCCTGGGTCGAGGGGGTCAGCCCTCAGGCCGGCCTCGAAGGCCGTCACCGCTTCCCTGCTCCGTCCCAGACCCAGCAGTGCTCGCCCCTCCCGAGCAAAGGACCTGATGTAGGCGTCGGACGCCTTCCCATTCCTGCAAGGCGTGGGGCGAAGGTATGTGGGGGCCTCCAGTGCGCGTCTCTCGGCCGAGGAATCGTGATGCTCGGGCGGTGAGCCGAGGGCCGTGGGCTGCGAGATGTCAGCGTCAGTGCGCTGGCTTGATCCCGCTCTCTGCTACAACCAGACCCAGAACCCT